ACCATTTCTGTTTCTTGTTGCTTGTTTGTCAAAGACTTAAGTATAGGTCGCATTTGATTGACGGTCGGAAACCTTCGAACCGTTCATAACTATGCTAACATACATTTTATCTGTGTTTTATATTTACCTCAAAATGGTTCTTGATATATAAAGATTTATCTGTGTATATTTCTCAGATGAGGTATTATGTACCCTATTTACATTATTCGGACTATTTTCCTCTTCTTTGTAGCCATATTTATCACCCTTCAGTATCTATATTTCTGAGATGAGGTATTATGTACACTATTTACATTATTCGGACTATTGACCTCATCTTTGTCGCCATATTCATCACCCTTCAATATATGTCTATATTTCTGAGATGAGGTATTATGTACACTATTTAATTTATTTAAGAATTTAAGAAACATTTTTTTTTGTTAATAAAGAATATTTTGGAACGTTTTAATTAATTTTTTTCTTGTGTCTTTAGAATTTTTCTTTTGTCAAAACTTATTGTAAGGAGAAATTGTCTATATTATTGCTTGCTCAAGTATTTTTTTAGCTAATATTATAAAGAATTTCAATGGGCATAAATTTTCGTGGTTCCGTTAGATAAAACAAACACGTCAATAGACAATATCTCCACAAACTCAGTCCACAAAAAAGAAAAGCGGTCCATCACACACACACACACACACACACACACACACACACACACACACACACACACACAGATAGATAGATAGATAGATAGATAGATAGATAGATAGATAGATAGATAGATAGATAATGCCCCCCACCCTCGCTTATTTCGACGTATGAAGATAAGACAAGCTCGTTCAGTTTTTATGTTCACGTGGTATGTAACACTTTAGTCCCGCTAGTAACCTGCATACGATCCCACATATTGTGCAACAGCGAGGATCTCCGAACATATCCACAGGAATATTTGCTGATGCTTTTCGCCGTTGTCTTTCGTCACTTAGCCGATCAATACAACTGATATATATATATATATGTTATAATGTACCAGTGCAATATATCATTACTATATTATTATCAATATCTTCACTATTATCGTGTACCAATGCAATATCTCATCTATTGAGGATCCAGAGAACGTAAAAGTCTACATTGGATGCACAAGACATGAATTCAAGAAACGGTTCAACCAATATCAAAGTTATTTTAGGATAAATAAATACCGAAATCAGAAATATTTCTAGCACTTACAAGAAACCAATAAAACACCTACTGCGAAAAAGAAATTAATAAGAAAAGCTAGAATATGTAGGTCATTAAATGATCCGAGTCTTTTTTTTCATACATGAGAAACTATATATTGCTAGGTTTATAAAAAATAAAAATTTACTAAATCAAAGAAATGAATTAGCTATTCTTTGCCGACATTGTCAAAAATTTTCCTTAGATAATGTTTAATAAGAAAGCTGATAAATGAAATATATTTATATTTGATATTTAAAAATATTTTTTAAATAATTTAAGTAATTCTATTATATTTATTTGTTTTAAAATAAGTATAATATATTAGTAATTAAAATTACGAATAACATTTTAAAATTGTAGTTCAATACGACTTATTCATATACAAACAGCCCTTTAAAAAATCTTTATGTATACAAGTAGATATTTAAAGACGAAACAAAAGTGCCAAAAAACTTTGTGTCGTTGATAAAGACCAGATGACATGCGTTGAACGGATGTCACCATTCGTTTGAAAAGGCACTCCTACCCTACCCTACCTGAACTTAACCTCTTTTCGAAAGTAACTCATATTTTGATACAATAGTTGTAAGTGAAAATGAATACCCTATCGACTCTTGCCAAAATGATTGAATTTCCCCGTAACCTTAGAAACTAATATTATGAATGTATGTGCTTATAAAACAGTAAATATGAAAATAAGTTTTTCAAAAAATCGCTTGAAAATGAAACAAAACTAGGGACTTTAATTTACTTCTATAATTAAATTTGGAGTTTTTTTTATATATATGAGCTTTTCTTTTTCGTACCTGTACTTTACGAATTTAAGCACAGTACTAGATTGGCAGCTAGGTCTCATTGTTTTCCAGTTGAATTGTGTAGATGCAAACGTAAGTTCTATCCCAGCACTTTCTCTTCTCGCAATTCTCGCTTGTAGAACTCTTTTCCAGATTCTTGCTTTCCACTTAACATTGAATTTTTAAATCAATGTCAGTCGTTATCTTTGAATCCTGTTCTTTTATTATCCACTTTACTTGAAGTTTTCCTTTTCTCTTATTCTTTCACACTGAGAAACACTTTGCGTCTTAATGGCTTTATTGCCTTGCAATTCATAAGAAACAAAGAAAAGATTTTTGGACTGCTATGTACTATTCATTCTCTTATATGCTAGTACATTCTGGACAATCTCCCACACGGATGAGGGTAAAATTGGAGACAGTAGAAATGTGATTCTGAAGGGTGTTCCAATAACTTGGACCCATTTTAAATGTGAATTAAGTTTAAGCGTCTAATGATTTTTTTTTTTTCATTTTCTTTCAGATTTGACGGACATTTGGGCGATATTATTTTTCACACATAATTCACACTTAAATACCATGATCGAATAGAGAAATAAATAAATATTCACCAATAACACTGATTTATTTACTACTGACTTTGATCCGTCTTAATGAAACACTCTTTTACAATCGAAAGGAATGTATCTAGACTTGATATAACATTTGTCACAATCACATCTAAAACAATAAAAACTTCATCAATACAAAATGAAACAATAAAAGGCTCATAAATTATTTCAAAATGGAAAAACTGCTCCTCCTGAAGAACCTAACAAACCAAAAGATATATTGTTCTACTAACCAACTCCATCACAAATAGAGGGTGTTCCAATAACTGGGAACCATTTTAAATGTGAATTAAGTTTAAGCGATTTTTTCTTTTTCTTTCAGATTTGGAGGACATTTTGGCAATATAATATTTCACACATAATTGCCATAAGTTAAATAACATGATCGAATAGAGAAATAAATTTTCAGCAATAACACTGATTTATTTACTGCTGACTTTGATCTGTCTTAATGAAAAGACCCTTATATATAATCCCTCTTAATGAAACACTCTTTATATGACTGAAAATTCCACAGACGGAGTGAGTAAGCAACAAAGAATTCTTAAAGAAAATGACAATGAAAAGAACACTTCTTCTCAATTTCAGGAAAAGTCAGCTGAAATTCCTTGGACACATAATGAGAATGGAAGACATAATAACAATAAAAGCTAAGGGGTGGTAGTGAGTCACCTACCTGAAGAGCTTGCGTGAATGGATAGCGGAACATGGGGTGACGGGTTTGGTAAAGGGACGCAACCGCTAACAAGGGATAGATACATCAATCTATAATTCTAAGATGAGTTATTGTAAGTATTTACACTATTTACACTGTTCAGTCTCATGTATTCATCTTTACCGTCACAATCACGGTGTTTCGGCCGTTATACGCTCCGGCTTTCTTCAGGTGATATTTGTTGGAATTTCAATACGAACCCTTTAGACCTCGGCGGTAGATTGTTCTAATTTCACGTACCCTTCGATATCGGTTTGGTTTGTTTTACGGCATATCAACCTTAGTGGGTAATTTAATGCCGACAAGATTTTTATTGCTGGTAATGTTTTTTTGTTTTTTTTTTCAAAAAGTATTTCTGGTAATATTTTTCCCCAAAAGTATTGCTGGTAATAATTATTTCTTCAAAAATTTATTATTGGTAATATTTTTTTTTTGACAAAAATGTATTGCTGGTATTAAAATCTATTTTTACATGTTTTCACCCCAGTTTGGGTATTAACTATTTGCCGATAGCTGGGGCTTTAACAGGTGCTGCCATCCCGATTCAGGGTGGACCTGGGAACACCAGCAATTAAGAGGTAATTCCACGCTCCTCAAAACCTTCTGATCAGAGGCCTTGCTGTTGGATGTAGTTTATCGTCTTACCCAGGATGCAGATGTAGTTTATCGTCATAGGACCTAGGACATCCTTTCGATATCTCAATTTAATTTAATTCTCCTTGATAACTCAAGAAGTTTTAGTTCTCTCTGCTAAGGCCAGGATTGAACTCACAATTTTGGGGGTCAAGTCACCTTTTATGTCAATCAAGAAACGCGTTTATCCACTGAGCCGTGTGAATTTGGGGGACTTCTAAACTTAATATCTCAGTACACTTTTTTTCATCAGAGCTCATATTACAATATTTTCACTAATTTGTTACTGTTTCTTCTTCAGCTCTGGATCTCGAAACGTAGTAAATTTGACAGTAAAGATGAGGACAATAGTCCAAACAATATAAATAGCGTACATAAACATAGGAAGTTGTGGAGTGCGATGATCGTATATGAGCTGAAAAGACTCGGAACATAGAAGATATGATCAACGATCTTCATAAACTGGATGCCAGCCATTGAACTGTATTCCTTGCGGTCCACCTTCCAATAATTTTCCCACTGAGCTATGCTTAGCAACATGTCATTTGATCGTGGCTCACAATCATACCTCATTGGGATGAAGAAACTCTCCATTAGTTTTTCCTCAAATGAAGACAAATGATTGGCTGGTAAGTTGAGAGTGGGATTTCTTAGCAGTCGTGTTTATTTCCCGCCGACCATTGTGTCCGCCATGAAAACCAAACGGCACCCTCGTATAAAATTCCATTAGAGACGACAAGACGCAAAAGCACCAATTAAGCTGTTTTGTATCTCACGCGTGAAACATGATTCTGAATATTTGCGGCGGAATAAAAATGGTTTACTGAAGGAAAAAGAATCATCTCATCAGATCTTAGTAAAGTAGCGTCCTTGATAGGACCGCCCGCCTGGCGTTCACTCAGATCTCGTTAGTGCAATTCTCGTTTGCTCAACTCTCATCCCATAAATAGTCAATACTTTCGGCGTCGAGTAGCTTTTATTTGAATTGGATCGTAGGATTCGGAGAGAGGTTTTAATGACTTCCTTGGAACGCTA